CATGGATAAACATATGGGACCATTGATTAGAATAGATGAATTAGGATTGGATGTCACTTTAGAGTTTATGCTTCATTTGTTGTCATCCATAAGGGGTTGTAATAAGAGAAAATAAGAACAAATTACTCTGATACCATATAAAAGTAAGTATAAAACTTTATTGATTTCATTCTTCATTGGTTCTAGAATACAAGTTAGCTTTAAATTGAAAACAACAGGGAAGCATTCCACAATTTTATACAAGATTAATTAACATTAAACTAATTAAAAAATAAAAAAATAACATAAACTAATTATTTGCATTATCTGAAATGTAAATAGCATAGTTTTTTTGCAATGTAAATATCATTGTTTTTTTGCAAGTGCATTTATCAAATAAGTAGTACACTGATTAGAGTCTAAATATTCTGTTGTAATACATGCTTAGGACTGCTTATTGAGTTTAGGTTTATTTGAATTTAGTTTGTTCCTTAATCTTAGGAGTTAGTTGCTATTTTTTCTTGAATTTTGTTTCTTGTTACTTTTTTGTCTTATTTTTAGGTCTTTTCTTGGAAGTTTGTTAGCTCTTCATGGATAAACATATGGGACCATTGATTAGAATAGCTGAATTAGGATTGATTTCTTATGATTTCCCTTCAATCTAAAGCAAGAAATTTTAGTTTTTCTCATCTTTCTCATTTCAAGAAACCAACAATTTAGTATCAGAGCTCTCTTCTTAAGGGACTCGTGTGTGAGTTTGAGCGGCAATGGAGATCGAAGCCAGTTTTTCCTCTGCTCCACCAGTGTTTGACGGAGACAACTACCGGATCTGGGCGGTTCGCATGGAGACATATTTGGAAGCTTTGGATCTCTAGGAAGATTGGATCTCTGGGAAGCAGTGGAAGAAGACTATGACATTCCTCTTCTCCCTGAAAATCCCACCGTAACACAAATTAAAGCACAAAAGGAGAAGAAAACAAAGAAGTCTAAGGCAAAAGCTTGCCAACTTTTTTCTGTAGTTTCCTCTACAATCTTCACTTGTATCATGTCGTTGAAAACGACAAAAGGGATTTGTGATTATTTCAAATTCGAGTATGAAGGAGATGAAAGAATTTGAGGGATGCAGGTGCTAAACTTGGTTCGTGACTTTGAATTGCAAAAGATGAAGGAGACAGAAACCATAAAAGAGTACTCTGACATACTACTCAACATAGTAAATCGTGTCAAATTATTGAGCTCTTCTCTGGAAGATTCACAGATTGTTCAAAAAATCCTTGTAACAATGCCTGAAATATTTGAGGCTACCATCACCACCTTAGAAAACACGAAGGATCTGTCAAAGATTGCTTTGACAGAACTCTTAAGTGCTTTACAAGCACAAGAGCAAAGACGTGCAATGAGGCAAGAAGGAGCCTTCGAAGGAGCTCTTCTAGTCAAGCATCAAGATGATGAAAAGAATAGGAGGGCCAAGAACAAGAAGTTTCAAGATACAAGTGGACAAAAGAAAGATTACCCTCCATTTCGACATTGTGGCAAGAAATGTCATTCTCCTTTCAAATGCTGGAGAAGACCAGATGCAAAGTGCAACAAATGCAATCAAATGGGGCATGAAGCTATCATTTGCAAGAATAAAGATTAGCAACAAGGAGATGAAGCACAAGTGATAGATCAAGAAGAAGATGACCAGCTTTTCATTGCAACTTGTTTCACAAGTTCTGAAACAAGTGAAAACTGGCTGATTGATAGTGGTTGCACTAATCATATGACATGTGAGAAGGAGTTGTTCAAGGAATTGAAGAACACCGAGTCCAAGAAAGTCAGAATTGAGAATGCTGAATATATTGCAGTCAAAGGAAAGAGCACCGTAGCCATTGCAAGCTGTTCAGGAACCAAGTTGATCACCGATGTTCTCTATGTACCAGATATTGATCAAAACTTGCTCAGTGTTGGTCAATTAAT